GGGAAATTCACTTTCCCTTTAAGGAAAAGAACCAGGGCCTGGTTTTCCCCTCGGGCCCCTCCGGCTTTCTCGTGTGGGCTGGTTTTTTGGGAGGGCCCGAACGCTCCCCCTTCCCCGGGGGCCCCTGGTCGGCCTTCCTGGTGCCCCCTTCCACCGGGTGGTGTCAGGGCCCACAACCGACCGGCTGGGAACCCCCTTGGCCCGAGGGAAGCAGTGCACCACCTGTGGGCCGCGAGCCCCCCTTCTCCCCCCACTTCCCCTCCCCCCGCTGGCGCTTGGTGCTGCCCGAGCCTCGCTCTACCCGCTGGGCCTGTCCCGGTTCAGAGCCAGGGGACAGGGAAGCCCCGGCAGGTGCTGCATGGCTCTGAGGCGCCCTCCGCCCAAAGCCGGCCTCTGCGTGGCTGTCCCTCCGGGAGCTCCAGGCGATGGGCCCTGAGGGAGCCTCCGGGGCTGGAGGGCAGGCCCTGCCGAGGGGCGGGCAGGCTCCGGGGCATCCAGGCCCGTGCACCGGACCCAAGAGGCCTGGCCCGGGCAGAGCTGGGAAGGGCAGGGCGAGCCTGGACTTGTGTCCTGGGCGAGTGGATGTGTGTATGTCCTGTGCCCTGTCCTGGGCCCAGCACTGCTGGGCTGCTCCGCGCACACAGCCTCGATGCTGCCTCAGCACACGCCCGCCTCCCTGACGGCCGTGCAGGGTGCAGCCTGCCTGTGGCCCTGGCCCCTCAGACCCTGCGACTCTTCCCTGGGGATGCCCCTGCCCCTGCCAGGCGCGCGTGCCGGGCTCAGCCTGGGCTGGGACCCAGGGCCCGCCTTCCGCGTGCTGCCAGACTGGCCCCGCTGCTCCCACACCCAGGTCGGCGCCAGCAGTGAGGCCCACCGGGGGCAGGGGCAGGGCCAGGTGAGGGAGCAGGGCCTGCGTGAGTCTGGGGGTGGGACTTCGGGGGGTAGCAAGACTGAGGCTCCCTGGGGAGACTGGACAAGGCCCAGGAGCAGGGATGTGTCCTCAGTGAGCGCCAGAGGCCCAGGTCCTGCGTGTCCAGGGCGGGGGGAGGGGTGGCTCTGGGCCATTTCCCTGCAGCCCCTGCCCATCACCTCGCACTTGACAGCGAGCACACCTGTCTCCCCAGACCCTGACCTGGCAGTGACACCATCAGCTGGCGGAGCTGTGGGGGCACCTACCGACACGGTCGGGTATGGGGGGACCACCCCTCAGGCTCCAGGGGCACCCCCCTCGAGGCACGGCTGGCTGTCTGTCCCACAGGGTCACCTTTAGCTCACATCCCCCCTCCCACATGGACAGACTACGGACTCGGGAGGCGGGCGCTGGCGGGAAGTGGCCCCAGACTCAGGCAGGAAGAGGAGGGGCTGACGCCAGGGCGCATGTGGGGCTGCAGGGTTTGTGCAGTGTGTGGTCCCCCAGTGGGGGGTGCGTGGCTGGGACGGCCTGGCCACCAGGCCCCAGGCCTTCATGCGTGGGCCCTGGATGTCGCTGTGCTGACCAGGGCTCATCCCCGTGGGCAGGAGGGATGGACATGGCCCTGATGCAGGCGCTGCTGTGCGTCCTGGAGGAGGAAGGGCCTGGGCGCCGGGAGAGGCAGGTGCCCAGCCCGGCTCTGCGGCCTTAGAAAGCCCCAGCTGCGCCCTGGGGATGGGTGGCACCTGTTCTCGGGCTCTGAGGACCTGAGAGCAACAGACCTGCTGGGCCCCACCTCCTGCCTCCAGCAGCTGACCACCCTCCTGCTTCCTGAAGACCCCAGGAGTCCCCTCTGTGTGGCCCTGGGCGGTGGGGTGGGCGGGCCCCTGGCTGCACCTGTTGCCGCGAGGCTCTGGGGAGCGGGAGTCCCCTCTGCTCCAGGCTGCCGGCCTTTGTGAATAAACGCAGTTTGCAGCGTATTTGTCACCATCGCCCATAAACCCGCACATGCAGTTGCTTCCAGGCGTGGGCTGTGGCTCACGCGCAGCCTGTGTGCTGGGCCTCGGGGACGCACGCTGGTTCCTGGCAGGCGGCCGGTCAGCTGGGCCCCTGAGCAGGAGGGCGCCCGCGAGCCTCAGCCGGGCTGCCTCTGGGCACGCCGTCCGTCCCCCGATGTCTCTCCTGCTCCCCAGTGAGGACTGAGCACCAGGAGAGGAAAAGTGGGGCGCGTTCCCCAAATCCCATTCCCCTTCCGCTCTAGCAGCAGGGCGAGCGTGTTCCGGACCAAGTGCAGAGCCGCGGCGAGGACAGGCGGCCCTCAGAGGCAGGGTCCACGTGTCCTGGAAGCGTGGCTTCCCGCCGGTGCACCAACGAGGCGGGTCCGTGGTCTGTCCGCGGGCACTGCTTCGGCCCTTGCACTGGGCGGCGCTGGTCCGAGCCCCCAGTGACCTGTGGGTGGCCGAGGGTGTGCCCGAGCCCGTCCTGGCAGCCAATGCCCCTGTGCGAGCTGGCATGGCACTAGGAGACTTGGTGCTTGCAGAGCGTGGTGGGGCCGTGACGCCGAGAGCGGCACATCAGACAGCCTGCCACGCGCCCCCCAAGGCCGGGTCAGAGCAGAGGCAGGGGGGCTGGGGTCCCAGCTGAGCTGGGCAGGGAGCGTGGGGTGACGTCCAACCTCGCGGCTCCTCCCCGAGACAGGAGAGCCGGCCCCTAAACAGAAATAGGCGGCAGGTGCACCCGCCGCACACGCTCGGCCCCCGCTTCCCTCTGGGGAGTTCTCTCCACTTAAAGCCCCCTCACC